GTTTGCACTCCCTACGTAGCCACTCAGGCCAGAAACTTGGAGGTCCTCTTCAGTATGCTCACATTTAATCACCTATTTTCACTTTCACATCTCCTTCCCCATGGCCATTACGAGATAGGCCCCCAACATCTCTTGCTTTGACCTCTGCAGCAGCATTCATGACCCCAGTCCCTCTCCCCTACAACTTTATTCTCACACTTCTGCCAGAATCATTCATCTAGAAAAATATTTGGTCGCTGGTACTTCCTATGCCCAGTGGTGTTGAGACTGAGCTCCATAAGCTCTTTGGGAACTAAGACCTGCCAACATTTTGACATTCTCACCTTGCTAACTGACCTAACCATTCTATAAACAGTTCCATCTTCCTGGAAATACCCTTCCTCCTACTCCATCTAAATGCTCCTTGACTTTATAACTCAAGCATCATAGACTCTAGGCCACCTTATCTGTCCCCCTCCCCACCCTTCCCCCCTGAATATGGTCCCACTGCTCCCTGTGTTGTCACAATACCATTTATCACTCCAGAAGACACTAGAGCCTAGTGGTTATTAATGGAGGCTCCTAAAGTCAGACTGCTTGGATTCTCATCCCATACTCAACTATGTAAACTTGAGCAAGTTGTCTAAGCTTCACTTTCCTCATCCTCAAAACAAGGATAATAATGCTTCATAGTGAGGATTAAATAAAATAGTCCACATAATGTACTAGATCAGTACCTGGCACATTAGTGACCTCCTGCTGTTTAAGTGGTAGCTCTTATTATTTGTTTTATAAGCTCCTTATCTGGCTCCCTCATCAGACATTTGGGCTGGATCAAGATCTCATTTGTCTTTCTATCTCTGGTACTTAGCAGGGAGCAGGCACACGTAGTAGGCCCTTGAGAAGTTTTTGCTGAGTTGATGATGGAAAGATGGACGAGTAGATGATAGATGGATTGTTGGATTAAAGGGAAGATGAGTGGATGGATGAATAGATGAGTGTGTGGGTTTATGGGCTAGATGGATAAGTGGGTGGATAAATTGCTAAGTGGGTAGATGGATGGATGGTTAGATGGGTAGAGGGATGGGTGGTTGGATGCATGCATAGATGGATACATGGATAGGTAGAAGGGTGGATGGGTAGGTTCATGAGCTAGACGGATAGGTAGATGATCAAATGGATGGTTAAATGGACAGCTCAGTCCTGTTTAGTATGGAACAAAGGAAAGTTGTGCCTCGCATCAGTTTTGTCAGCCAGCTGAAAAGAAGATTGTGTAATATGTGATTTATTAAGTTTGGAGTTGTTTTTGGTTTTTTTTTTTTTCCTAAGCACAGCTGTCTTCCTGCTCAGGATTTTTGGTCTCAGGCAATCTGTTACTTACAATATCACTGTATCCTTGTGAATTTAGACCTTCAGTAAAACTTCTTCAAGCCTCAGAGAAAACACACATGTATACTGTGTTTTGGCCACACAGAAAAGAACTATAATCCTTGCCCTGGAAGACTTTGCAATGTAATTGGGAAAAGATACTCAATTAATAGAAGTTTGTCAGTTGCTGTTAATCTGGAGTTGCCTTAAGGCTGGGTCAGGGATAGCACTGGCTTTTGATGACAACCAGGATAACTCAGAAAAGCTACTTTGAAGAGGTGGTTTGAAGATAGGGAAGTGTGTTGTCCTGAGGAGGTGGCCCAACCATAGGTAAATCCTGAAGCTTGGAAGCAGAGAAGCCCAGAAGGTCCAGAATATTGAGTGCAGCCTGGGGCCCAAGAGCACAGCCTGGGGCCCAAGGGCACAGCCTGGGGCTGCTGATGGTGAGGAAATCTGGCTCAGGATGGAGGCCTTGCCATTGGCCCCAAACTGCACAACAGCAGTAGGATCCTCACTATGAGTGAGGAGTGACCCCTTAGAGCCTCAGATACCTCAACCAAAAATGAGAAACATAATGCCTGCTCCATGGGGTTATGGGGAGGATTAAAAGATTTAAGGCACGTGTCATATCAATGCCAGACCCACTGTGCTGCTCAACATACACCTGTTTCTTCCTTCATATAGGCAGCATAGGCTGGTGGTCAAGTACGTGGGCTTAGACCCATGTTGTTGTCCAGCTTTAGAGCCTCATTGCTATCAAGTCCAGTTACTAGCTGCAAGATCTTAAGCATGTTACTTAACCTTCTCTGCCTCAGTTTCTTCATCTGTGGCTGATAATAATACCCACCTGTCAGGGTGGTTGTGAGGAATACATGAGTTAATATATGAGAGCCTAGAACAATGCCTGACACATAGTAAGTGCTACGTAAGTATTTTCTCTTCTTTTAATACTATTTTAAATATTCCTAAAGAGGTGAACACTTTGTTCCTGGTTACCGGAGTGAGAAGCAGCAAACCTTATATGTATGGATAAGGTGGGGGCATAAATTCCCCTTTACTGAGCACTCATAATGTCAGGTGTTTAGCTTAATATAATTTACTTAAAATACTTTATATATTATATATCTTATATAATCTGAATATGATTTAGATTAATCTAATATTAATGCCCACTTTTGGGAATAGGTAATTATCACTCCCAACTTTGACATGGAAAAACTGAGACTCAGAGATACCTAAATAGTGACTTATCAAAGACATGTAGTTAGCAAGTGGTGGTGCTGGGATGCTAAGACATCACATTTCCACTCCGCAAAGATGTTTAGGCTGGCAGCCATCCATGCCATTCACCATGGTACATGGATCAGGAAACACAGGGCCAGGGGGAGGAACATTGCCCAGAATGTCACAGTGAGCAAGTGAAAGTTCTGGGATCAGAACCCTGCGCTCTCGATTCTCAGCCTGCTTGTTCTTGACAGAATGGGGAACATACATGTCTAGAAGTCTTCATCAAATGGATCCTGCACTTTCTTCCCCAAGGAATCAAATTTCCAGTCACGGGACCACAGAGCCAGCAATGAAGGAGAGGAATGATCTCCTTACAGCATGAACCTGTATGCTTGGTGGGAGGGATTTGGTGACTTACATGGGCTCTTCCACTCCCACCCATCACGGCAGGGAATTCTTCAACCCTTTCATCATCTAGGGTCCCTGTTCATCTGACCCAAGACACTGAACAGTTTTATGAGTGAACAGATCTTGCTGCACTGTGGCTCATTTTCCCCAGCCCAGCTTCACAAGCAGGCATGGAGCTGCTTTTCTGCCATGACTTCTTAGCTCTCAGAGTCACTTATCTTCTGTAGCTGGAGTTGGGCTCTCCTGATAAATAAGAGAAAGCCTAGAGATCGCCTGCCTAGAGGTCACCCTGCTTAGAGGCTTTGGCCACTTCGAACTTGAGAGGGAGAAATTTGAGGCTCTGAGGACATGTTCCCATCCTGCAGATATAAAACTGTATCTTCCTGTGCCAAGCAAACTGGATAACACTTGCAATTAACCAAATAACTCAAGAGGGAAGGGAACTTTTCTTGCCTATTCAGATGGATATTTGGGGACCTTAATTATCAGCAATTTTTCTCAATCCACAAATGTGTCACTTATTGTCAGTGCGGCTAAGTCTGTAAGATAAAAGCATTCCTATTTATTTTCCTACAAAATACAAAAAGTTATAACAAAGGGAATATCGTGGACTTGTTTGAGATTTTTATTATTCAGAAGCCAAGAGCTAGAAGGGACATCAGAAAGAGATTGCAGGTAGTGATTTTTCAAACATTCTTTTGGAGAGTGGAATTCTTAGTCATGTGACATTTTAAATGAAACTCCAATTTATAAAAGAGGTAAAAATGGAGAAGAAGTGCTTGCTGGCTTTCATGGATAAGCAATCCTACCTGCTCAGTTTCCGCCTATCCCATTTCAGTGAGGCTACTGTACAGAGCCCCCAGGATCCTGCACACACAGTTTTTAAAACTAATGGTCTGGTTCAGCTCATCTGAGGATCAGATAAGGAAATAAAGGCACAGAGAATTTTTTTAAGGTTGTAGTCTATTTAGATTGAAAGTTGGAATTCCTTTCTCTTCGTCCAGTGCTTTTTAATGATGAAGTTTGAATTTTGTTCCGGTTATCTACTGATAGGTAACAAACTTGAATTTTAGTGACTTATATTTCTTATGAATCTATGGTCTGGTTAAGGCTTAAAAGGAATGACTTGTTTTGTTCCATGATACCAAGGGTCTCAATCGACATAATCCAACTGATGAGGGCTAGCTGGATATCTCTCTTCATACAGTTTTAGGGTCTCTCTACAGGATCTTTTCAGCATGGCTACCTCAAGATACTTAGACTTCCTACATGGAGAGTCAGAGTTCCAACTCAGAGTTCAAAATACCCAGGCAGAGCTACAAGTCTTCTTCCTCATCTATCCTAGAAAGTCCCAGAATGTAATTCTTACCACATTCTTTTGGTCACATAGGGCCATTCCTGCTTCAGTGTGGGAAAGAGCTACACATGGGCATGCATACTGGGAAGCGTGGATCATTGGGGAGCCATCTTTTTTTGGGGGGGGAGCCATCTTGAATGCTGCTACCTGATTACCTTGCTTTTGGCAAGACCTTACCTGACTTATTTAAATAGGTTCTGATGCAGTTTGACCTGAAACAGAGAACATAAAGTCATTATGGCTTTCCTTAGATCTTAAGGGAACTGTCACGTGAAGAGTGGTAGAGTAGTTCTAGAAGGCCACAGAAATATGACCCAGGACCAAAAAGTCGTAATTACAAGGAGGCTAGTTTTGACTGACTATAGAAAAGGACTTATAAACAATTAAAACAGCCAACATTAGATGTGGCTTTCTCTGCATGAGTAGTGAGTTTCTCCATCATAAGAGAGGTCTCTCTCATTCCTTCTACCACTGGAAGTATTTGATTCTCAGCAAAGATGATTAGGAGAGAAACTTGCATCTCCTTGAACTTTGGGATGCTGAAATACTATGTGCATTTCTAAGAATCAAGATTTCATATAAATCTAATTCTTGTTTGTTTGTCTTTTCTTTTTCCCCTTTTTTGGACATTTCCTTCATCTGACTGCCCATCAATATATAGAAGAAATGCTTATTCCTACTCCTATTACTTGTAAGTATCGACCCGGGGAAACTTTGCTTCGTGCCCTGTAAGGGAACCTGTAGCATGCATTTCCTGCACCAACCAAGTGTCTGTTGGTTTCTCATACTCACTTCTGTCTAAGTCATCTGTAACCCCAAAGTTTTTATTTCCCATAGATGTTTTCCATTTGAAAATGCACTGTCATTGTTGCATTGTTGATGTCTGTTATGTTTCTTCCATCTTGGACTCCTCCCTCCCCGTCCCTCCCACCTTTGTTTGGAGCTGTGAAGGGCTGTTTCTCCTTTGGCAGTGTCGTTTTATAGTTAGAAATCCCCAAATTTCAAGAAGAGGTCAACCTAATCCCCCTGCAGGACTTGCAGACATAAAACAGAATCACAGATCTCAGCAACTTCAGAGCCCATTTATGTCTACTTGGGGAATGTGTCGCCTTAAGGGGCTCAAAGGTTAGAGAGAAATTCATTGGCTGTTTCCACTATTTCAGCAAGTCTACAGGGAAATGGGACTTTACCTAGAACCAGCTTCATAGGTGACAGAAACATCTGAGGTCTTTGGGCTGGAATTATCTCAGTCTGGTGTTTGGCAATAGTTATCTCCTGTTATCAATGCATTTTGTTGGTAGTTATGTGTGGGCTGTTGCCTGTCAATTTTTTTGCACTTTCTAAATAAAAATGATGATTTTTCTCATTATTAAATCAGACATTTTGAAAACATGAAGGTAAAGGGAAAGAAAAACTACACGAATAGATCCTTGGTATGAAAAGTTAAGAAAACCACTGAAGTAATCCCATATCCTTAATATGCATTTCCAGTGTTTGAACATTGAGGTCCAGAGAACTGTGTGAAATCACACATCCAGTGGGATTAAAACTCGGAATGTCTGGCTTCTGGCAAAGTGTATTGTCCATCATTCCATGTCTAGCTCTACCCCGGCATACCCCGCCTTACGAGAGAGGCCATGCCTGTTAGTGACCATCTGCTGAAGCCTTCACAGATGCAGATTTAGCCAGCAAAAAGCTCTCCCACGCCCTGTGCTCAGTGTTTCGGTCTAAGGTCAACAGGCTAGGCACTGAGTAAATAAGATTCTGGTGCCACCACCATCATGTTCTATAGGAACCGATGGACCCCACCATCAACACTGAAAGTACCAGAGAACCTGTTTTGTTTGTTCATTCACTCATCTGGCAAACATGCATTGAACATGTTCATTATGTTCTAGACACTGTGGATGGAGAGATGGCCAGGACTTTGAGCGCTACCTTCTTAGTGTTCAAGCCTGTCTGGGGACTAGTGTAAAATCAAATGCTTGAAATGTTGGCTGAGACGCACCTATATGTACTGTCCTATAGAGGCATTTACTCAGGTGACTAATTTTTTAATGGGGCAGGGGATAGTTACCAGTGTTTGTAGGGATGGATTTGCCCACTCCTGAAGAAACAAGAATTCTAAACAGAGGGAACCGCATCTGCAAAGGCACAGGGGTTAAAATGATATGGTGTGTTGTTGCTGTGGTGAAGAGAATGAGCTTCAGGAATCATGCAGCTCTGGGTTCAAGCCACATCTTTGTCACACACCAGTTATGAATCCTTGAGGAAATCCTCAGAACTCCTTTAGCCTTATTTCTCTTAACTCTAAAATGGGGTAACAGTGCCTAACTCAGGGAATGAGGGATTTTATAAAGTGCCTCGCACAAAGTTGGCACTAATGAAATGTTAGTTTTCTTTATTTCCTTTTGTAGAAACCATAAGGGGTCAGGAAAATAGTGGTGGCCCCTGGGAGTTCCTCTGGCCTTCGAGAGGTTCTTCTGGCACCAGTGTTCCACAGTAGTTACAGGCATGCGATGACCCATCCCTGTCTCTGGGCACCTCACCTCCTCCGTCTGTTAGACAGTGTGCATAGCACTGTCTTTGGATGCCCACTTCATGTCAGGCACTGTGCTGGGTAATGTGGCAGAATCCAAGATGCACAGTGCAAGAGTATAGGAGACAGACTAGCAAGTACTTGTAGTTCAAGGTGCAGTGATAAACAGTTGTGCAGTTGTGCAAACTTAGAGTTCTAAGTCACAGATTTATTTAATGTTTATTTCTGAGAGAGAGAGAGAGCAAGAGAGTGCACACAAGCAGGGGAGTGGCAGAGAGAGAGGGGGACAGAGGATCCCAAAGCGGGCTCCGCACTGACAGCAATGAGCCTGATGTGGGGCTCAAATCACGAACCATGAGATCATGACCTGAGTGCAGTCAGACACTCGACTGACTGAGCCACCCAGGTGCCCCCTAAGTTACAGATCTTAGCGTGTGAAGCTCATGCCAGCTGGGGAACTAAACGTGGTTGAAGACTCAAAGGAGGAGAACTGGAAAGGCAGACAGAGAGGTAGGAGCAAAGCTTTAAGAACCAAGTCCGTTGCAGAAGGAAGATTTGACAGTAGAGATGCAGAGAGATGGCAGTGGAGAACGTGAGCGTGTCCCAGACATCTGAGCATCAGCAGTCATTTGTGCAGGTCATGGGGTGGGTTGAGGGACAAAGCCAGCCTAGAGCCCATGAGGAGGAGGATACTTCTTTTAACCACCAGACCCTAAAGCAGAGGAGAAACATGAGAGTGGCTACTTGAAGGGTGAGAAAGTCCTGGGCACTTGTATACAACGAAGTAGAGGAGTCTGTGCAGAGGAAGAGGCTGAAGATGCTTGTGGGGGGTGGGTGGTTAGGGGGAGGGCACGTCTGGAAGGGAAGGTCTGGAGGCAAAGTGGGGATAGGGAGCAGCCTCAGAGGGGAGGCACGACAGGTTCTGTGAGACTGTAGGATGGAGAGATGAATGTAGGCGGAGAAAAGGGAACAAAAAGGAAATGCTGACACCCATGATTTCCAGATTCAGAACTCCATTCTTAGGTGTAGACCCCAAGTGGGTGCTTTCAACCTGCCTGGAGAACCTCAGTTCTGTTCATGGACATCAGTACCTTGCTAGGGACAAGAAGTGGTAGCTATTCCTGGCTGACAAGGACACCCTTGAGGCACTTCTGTCTTTGCCATCCTGGGTATTTGCCAGCTGGTCAGAGCTGAGAGCACTGGGCTGCCAGATCAGAAGTAGCCAGGGGATTAGAGTGAAGAGGGACCAACAGAGTGCTAATAATGACCAGGATAAACAGAGCTGTAGACCAAAGGAACTGAGACCTAAGGACAGAGAAAAGTCTACAATGGGGCCCTTCATTGTCCAGCACATGCTACAAAATAGGGAGATAATGTGAGTTTTGTTGTCAGACCTAGATCCCGATTCTATGTCAGACTGTTCAGACCTTGAACATACATGGAACCACTCTGAGCCTCAGTTTCTTCATCTGCAAAGTGGTGATAACAATGTTAACTCCCCAGGTTTTTGCGTTTTTGCCAGGGCTGGTGAGAGGGTATACGTAGAGTGGCTACTACAAAGTAGCAGCTATGATTCCTTACATTCCGAGCTAACCGAAATGCCTCTCTAGAATGCCTTTTTGCTTTTCTCTATAGTAAAGAAGCTCCCAACCACTTCAGTGTCTGCTTTTTAAAAGGATATTAAGAGTTGGAATGTGTTCACAGATTAATTTATCTCAAGGTGTGTGATGGGCACTGTAATTGTTTCAAACAGAGACATTTTAGTGTAGCAGTTCTTGAAAAAGCACTAAGTTGTTTACCAACTGTTCCAGCAGAGAGAGAGCACTTAACTGTTCCACTTAGCCTTAGGTAAATGCCTGTACACGTGTCATGGAGACAGAAAACAGTGACCTGGGCTGGGCCTTGTCTGCAGAGACTCTGGAACTCTTGAGTTCCCATATCCTTCCCATCTTTCCCCATTCCAGCATATTTGAATCCTACATCTACCCTTCAAGGTCCAGATCTAACAGTGCTTCCTACAGGAAGTCTTCCCTGATTCTCTCCACCCACGGGAATGGTGCTTTTCTCTGAACTCTCACTGTAATTACTTGGTATCATGGGCAGGAAGGGGCAAATGTGTCTTAAGAATGTTTCTTGTTCTTTCTGGTTTTCCTCATGTGAATGAGAAGAGCAAGATGATATTAAAAGCCATAACAGCTGAAGTCAACAGGGAGATGGTCTGTTCTCAAAAAGAAAAGAAATGGCAACAATTTTTAGCTACCTCCAGACCCTTTCCCTTCCTTGCTTCTCTATCTTTAAGGCAACCTTTGCTCCTGTGCAGCCTCTGGGTCTCAGTTGACTAAGATGTAAAGTGGAGACTAAAAATGGGTACCTCGCAGAGATCTTTCAAGGATTCAAGGACATAATAAAACGCTTATTATGTAGTAGATCTTCAACCAAAGTAAGAAATCACCTCTGTTGGTCAGTGCATACACTTTTTCACATCATAGGCTGTTGCAAATCAAGTATTGTTGCCTCAGTACATGTAAAGAGGAATTTAAAATGATTATATCAAGAGATACTCAAAAAGCTTTTTATGTAATTCATCAGCCACTTCAAATAAAAATGAAGAAAAGATAGGAATTGAAGGAAACCATTTAGAGATGATAAGTATCAATTACCAAAAGCTGACAGCAGACATGTTGACAAGCAGAAGGGAAAGGTGTCACCATGAGGGCCAGGCAGAGATGGCAGCCATGTTGCTGTGCAGCCAAGGGGAGGACTGTGATGAGAACTGATTCCTGCCCCCTCAACCCCCCTGGAGCAGCTCGGTCCCCTTGAAAGTGCAGCCTGGGAATCTGCATCTTAGCACACACCTCAAGTTCTTATTTTGCATGCCTACTTTGAGAGCAGCTTTTCTCCTGACACCCTTACATCACCCCGATACAACTGTCCCTTTCTCAATATCACACCTTTGCACTTGGCCCTCTTCCTGGGATGCCTAGCCACCCTCTGTGCCTGGAAAATTCCAACTGAAGGGGGAAATTGCCATTCGTATTTAGGCAGACCGTGTCCGTGTCCTCACCTTTGTTGTTGCATCCAGCCTTCATTCATTTGTCCCCTGACTCACTCATTCACGAACAATTCTTAGGTTATTCTGCCCGTGGTGTAT